AAAATCAAACCAAATCATTCATAAACTAAACCTAAAACACTAATCACTAAAAACTAAAAATAACTATAAACCCTAAACAAATATCAAAATATGCACACAATACATAAGATAAATAATTATTACAATAGAATAGTATAACAAACGAAATAGTATAGTATACATTATTCAAATAACATAGTACAATTGAGACTTTACATGACAACGAAGACGTCTCAACCATAACGCCTTCGTGGTCTGTAGATTTCAGAAGCAGAGATTATAGATATAGAAGTGGTTATACTGGTTATGAAATTGGTGTTGATCGTATTGTAATAGTGATGGAAGCAAAGTGGTGGAGATCAAAGGAAAAATGGTGGTAGTTGGTAAAAGAAGAAGATGTTTTTTTTCTTTCGTTAACCGGAGACTAGGGGTAATATAGTATATATTATAAAAATAATGGAGATACTTTTTTTTTTGGTTAGATACTTAATTATTGTTTATTTTGTAGCTATACACTCCAATTTCCCAAATTCCAATCTACATCTATTTTTTCCTTGCAATAATAACTAGATAATAACCTGCTCACCTGATCAAGACTGCTAACAACTCTTCTACGGATATACATATAAGAACAGTTTTTCTGGGAAATTTGGAAAGCAAGAAATGCTTTCGTTTTTGAAACCAAAGTTATTAATTCATCGTTTAGTACTAAGAAAGGCTATAAAGAAGGTTCCACATGGTTTGACACATTCACAAGATCGTTGGATGGAGTGGGTGATGTCGATAGGAGAAACGTTTGCTCGAAAAAACTACCCAATGGTTTCCTCAAGTGTAATTTGGGATCCTCATAGGTAAACTCAAATCATCTTAGTGGTGTTTCATGGATTTTACGTGATGAACATGGATGTACGATTATGCATAGCCGGCGAGCCTATTCTTGTATGCGCACAAAAACAGAGACAGACTTGTGGGCTCTTTTTTGGGCGGTTGAAAGTCTGCATAATTTACAATTCTCAACTATTATTTTTGAGACCTCCTCGGACAGCCTACATGACGTACTCACAAAGCCTGATGAACACCATAGCCTCAGCCATATTCGCCACAGTATCTCTTTTCTTCTGGAAAGTTTTGATTCATGGAATCTAGATCATGCTCTTCCTGAACGCATGAAACTGCAGCGGCAATTGCTTCAAGTGTCACTCGTGATCTGCGTCACCAGTCGTACATTGCCCGTACGTAATGCTCCGGTGTGGCTACTCGCTTTGGAGTCTCAGCAATAAAGAAGTTTTGGTGAGGCCCCTTCCACTCTTAGTTGGTGTCTATTGACATCTCATCTTCTTTCTTATGTTTATTTCCTTTTTGTACCACATCGTACTCTTCCAATCAAACAGTGTTATAAAAAAAGATAATAACCTTCTCCTTGCCAGGTTTAGGAATGTGATTATTAATTTTGAGATTATTAATTTTGTTATTTATGAAGATAAAAAAATATAAAATTTGTTAAGTCTGTACATTGGTTCAGGTTTAGGTTATTTTTATTTTTTAATCTTCTAAAATATAACTATCACGCGGATTTGGAATATATCGGTTATTCGAGTTTTAGTAGATCTCTAAGATACGAAAATAATAGAAAGCATTCCACTTAGCAAAATACAAATGGAAGATAGGAAGGGATGGCATTTCACCAAAAACGGAAAATACACAGTTAAGTTAGGATATCAAGTTGAAAGGGTGTATCCAGATAAAGGAATGCCGACTGAAATTCAGGGATCTAAAGTGGATGTTTTAAAAGCATTCTGGTGGAAGATAAAGTGTCATCCCAAGATAAAACATTTCCTATGGTAATTGCTATCGGGTTGAATTGCAGTTAAGAAAAATCTATAGGGATAAATGGTGATATATGTTGTGATAGATACGGTGTTGAAGAAGTATCGGTTAACCATATTTTCTTTGAATGTCCACCAGCACGCCAAGTTTGGGTATTGTCAAAGATCCCTTTGAACTCAGTCTTTCCCTACATGGTCTCTGTTTACGAATATTGACCATTTATTTTGGCGGATTATTCCTAAGATGGACGATCATCATTTCGCATAGATATTAAAATGGCCAGAGATCACTATATATGTTAAGGCGAGGAAGCTGTAGGCAGAAGATAGATC